TTGCAGGGTTTTTAATTGTGTATGGATGTGGTGGTTAAAATGGCTGTGCAGAATGGGAAGGATACCTGTCAAACTTAAGGTAGACTACTAAGGGCTGTTAGGAGGCTACAGTTTTATCTTCCTACTGGATCAGATGCAGAAGATGCACTTCTGTTTCTAGACATCTTGTTAAATCCCTTCTTTTAAGGGGAAGAATAATACACGAGGAACTCTTAACTCATGTAACATTTTATAAAACAGACATTACCGATGGCTGGCATTTAAACACAAACCACAAACAAAAATCAAACCAGAAAAATCGCCCAAACCAACATGCAGCTTTATCAATTAACAACTAAAGGGGAAAGAGAACCACTGCATCTCTGAAAGATTGAAAGGACTGTGTAGAAAGAGTGTTTGATGTGAGGTAATGCAGTTTATCTATCTTAAAACTTCTGATGTTTTTGTGGGGGGGTCCCTGTGGAATGGGGCTTAGTGTAGAATGTGACACTGTAGTGTCAGTGGCAAATTTGTGTGATGTCTTTGTTAGCTTTTCAAATAAAGAATTGTCCTGATCAGTAGCTGCCTTGCCATAACGTGTATCCCTTACAGTGCATTTCATGTACTGAAATGCAGTTAATATGTATCAGAGAGAATGTTCTAAGAACAGCTTCTTAGTCTGTGAGGAGCAGGAGCAGCACTGATGGCTCCTGTTTAGTCCTCATCTTAACTTTGCCCAAATTTAAGCTTTTTGAGCATCTGCAGCTTCTTTTTACCCAATATGCTGGAATTTCTGTACTGATCTATTTGCTTTGGGCTTGCATTCAGGGTTTTGGTTAATATACTGCCTGTCAAGTATAACACTTGTTTTCTTTTGGTAGCAGGGTGGTGAGGGAGAAGTCAAGGATGGGGTCACAGAAGGAGGACAACTTCAGCAAGTGCACAGGAATCCTACCTACCGTCCCCGCTATCGCAGGTCTGTAGGTCTGTACAGTTCCTCTGCTCAGTTACTCAGATGCTTTTGTGTTCTGTAGAGGCTTCCAAGTAAGAACGCTTACGCAAATGGTAGGCACAGTGAGAAGCATTTTAATTACTTGGAGAAATTTTTTCATGTGCTTATATGTTCGGAATCATAATGGCCCAGAAAGGGCAAAGAATTCTTAGCATCTCATTACTTCTCACAACTGAGCAGCATATTGAAGTGAGCTGCAGTGTCCATGTCTTCCCAGCTGAACACTCATACTTTTCTGGATAAGTAATAACCCAAATACTTTATCTGGGACCCTGCTGGGCGTACTGGTGGATGAAAACTTGTGTGTAAGCTAGTAAATGTGGAGTTGCAGCCCAGAAAGCTGCCCATATCCTGGGCTGCAGCAGGAGCAGCATGGCCAGCAGGCTGAGGGAGCTGACTGCCCAGTACATGAATGGGGCTTATAGTAAAGATGGAGGTTAACTTATTAGCAGGGCCTGTTGTGTTAGTATGAGAGGTAATGGTTTTAAACTAAGAGAGATTGAGTATAAATGGAAGGAAGATGTTTTTTACTATGAATGTGGTAGAACACTGAAACAATGTTCTACTGAAAAGATTGCCCAGAGTGTTGGTAGATGCCTCTTACAAGGTCAGGTTGGAGAGGGCTCTGAGCAACCTGATCTTGTTGAAAGGGATTGGACAAATGGCCTTTAAAGGTCCTCAAGGAGCTGGTTTGTCTGCCATTCACTCAGTTTCCCCTCATGATATTGTCCTTGTTTATCAAGTAGCTTATTTCAATATTCTAAATTCCAATACAGAATTTAGAGATGAACTATGAAAATGATGTAATCCCCATTTTTCCATGTTCAAAAACAAAAAGTAAGAGGTGAATAACAGTGCAAGAGCAGCAACGTGCTGAATTTGATAGGGATAACAAGATTGTTCTTAATTGTAATGACTTGCCTGTTCCATGCATAATGGATCCATCCTTTTGGAATCTGGGTCTAAAACAACAAGCCTTCCACCTCTAGTTTGGGCTTTTCTTTTTGTGCATATTCATGTTTAATTGGGCTCTTTTATCTGGGACTGTGGTAAATGGGATACTACTGATGCTTGCTGCTTGTTAGCATCCAAGCTTAATTTAATCCAAATTTAATTTCTGAAAGTCTTCGCTAGTTTTGGGCAATCAGAGATAGCACCATAGCAAGTTCAGTGAGACTTTTGCATGTCATGTGGTTGAATCACAGGCTGAGTAACTTGTCCATGACTAATGGAAACTTGTGATTTTCTGATGCAATTTTCATATGAAAGGAATGACACAGCCTATCAGTGCACAATGCTTCTGTTTGAGTTCACAGGTATTGCTTTTGTTTGCAGGCACTCAATCCAGTGACACTGGCACTTTTGTTAGGTTCCTTTGGAAAAGCTAAATTGGTTTTTGGGGCTAGGTAGCTGTGAATTAGCTAATGGAAACTGGATTTTCACTGTGTTTGAAAAGTTTATAAACATTGTTTATACTAGAAATAAGGTGAAATGCTCTTGTATACATCAAGAGCATGGACTTGATAGCTTAGTGTTAAACAGGTCCAGCTCACCTGTGATAGGTGTTTTTTGTAATTGGTTAAGAGGGGCAACATGAGGCAAAGAGCCAAGATCCAGGAATGGTTTTCAGGTAGAAGTGAGGAGGATTGCAAGGACTCCATTGTTAATTAGAAATAGGACTAGGCTGGTATGTAGCCATGCCAAAGCTAACTCGGCACAATCAGCCTGTGTGGCCACTTATTGGCTTGTTTCTTCTGCTAGCCAGCAATTCAAAGGGGCAAACTGCATCTTCATTGCGGGATAGACAGCAGAATATGGTGATGTAGTTTCAGCAGTGAAGAGACACCCACTTTCCTTGTCCTTCCTTTCCAACCATATGCCAGCCAAACCCTGAAGGGATGGTTTGCTAGAACTCAAAACTGCTGAGGATGATACTTGGTTTTGGGAGATTTTGCTGGGCTAAAATTACTGTAGTTTAACATTTCTTGGTTTTGTTCTTAACACCTCTTCCTGCCCCTCTCAGAGGGCCCCCTCGCCCACGCCCTGCCCCAGTGACTGGAGAGGCTGAAAACAAGGAGAACCATCACGAGGCCAATGCCATGAGCCAGCAGCCGCTGCGCCGCGGCTACCGGCGCCCCTACAACTACCGTCGCCGGCCACGCCCAGCCAGTGCTCTGGCACAGGAGGGCAAAGAGGTATGGCTAGCGAGCTGCTGAGAGGCATGAGCAGCTCTCCTGCGAGGGAAGGCTGGAGGAGTTGGGATCGTTCGGCCTGGGGAAGAGAAGGCTTTGGGGTGGCCTCATTGTGGCCTTGCAGGGCCTGAAAGGAAAGATGAGGCAAGACAGTTGCGAGGGCCTGGAGTGACAGGACAAGAGGCAATGAATTAAAATTGAAAGAGTAGGTTTAGATTTGATATGAAGGAAAAAATTTCTCCCTGTGAGGATGCTGAGGCCCTGGCACAGGTTGCCCAGGTAAGCTGTGGCTGCCCAATTCCTGGAAGAGTTCAAGACCAGGTTGGATGGGGCTCCGAGCAGCCTGGGATAGTGAAAGGTGTCCTTGCCCATGGCAAATGGTTGGAATGAGGTGATCTTCAAGGTCTCCTTCCAACCCAAGCGATTTTATGATTGTATATAGCAGAGGTTTTAATGGGGTGAATGCCCAAAACCTTCTGCCCTGTGTGAGTTTTTAATAAATATATTCATGTGCTGGATATGTCTGATGACCAAATCTGACATGCTGATTTCCTTGCCTGCTTTTTCTGACCCTCTTTGAGAATAAGCACCTTATGTTAAAAGGAACTGGCAGTGGGATAGGGATTGCTTCTAGATAGTTCTTAATTGGGGTCAGACTGTAACAACTATTGTTGACGTGGAAACAGTTGTGTTATCTTGCTTCCACAAACCTTAACTCTGTATGTAGCATGTGTGATAGATTTGAAAGCTCTAGATCCATTTTCTGAACCGTTTGAACCAGATAATTTCAGGAAACTGTTTTCAAACAGAGATTCTGGTGTAATGAAGGAAGATTTTTGCATTCGGTGTCTACTTCAGGTGTTCCTTTGACAGAATCTGTTGTGTAATACCCCATTGCAAGAAATACACTAAAATTTAATATCTTCTGGAGATGCATTTTTCTTGATTGTTTTAAAAACTGCATTATGCTGGCTGTACTGCTGAAGAGAGGAGGGGTGTGGAGGTCAGCCTTTGCTATAATAAGAGTTTGTTGTGTCTCAGACAAAGGCAACTGAAACACCTGCTGAAAATTCTGCTCCAGTGACAGAGCAGAGTGGCGCTGAGTAATGTCCGGCTCTCCAGGCACCTTTACCATCACTCAGGTAAGGAATATGGACGGTTCTGTTTCGCAATAAAAGCAGAGTGTGTATTCTTCTAGGATTCTGGCCAGATACCCTTACATATGGCTTGATATTTGTGATAAGTTCTGAGGGTGCTGTAGAGGCAAACCAAGATACTGCTTTTCTCTTCTTTCTTTCTTCTGCCTCTGTATTTATCACAAAGTAAGTTTTACTTTATAATTGATTTTGTTTTTTCCAGAAAGCTCTCTGGTCTGTATGGTAATAGTATCTACTGATGAGTTATTTCATTTTAGGAAGATCCTGATTATGGACAGAATAAGTCAGTTGTGCTTATCCAGCCTGTTATAACTCTTTTCATTTGACATCTCATTCTATTTATTGAGACAAGAAACTTAAACTGCGTTTTTTTTACGTGTGGCTCTTCAACAGGTGTCCTAAAGTACAAGTCAAAAGTAACACCAAAGAAACACACAAGCAATAAATTGTCAACAGTGATGACGAAAGCAAAGATTTGAAATACTAAAATGTAAAAGAAAATTTACCAGCAGCTGAGATCCAGGGAACACCTACAAGATAGATGCATGAAGAGAGAAAGAGAGCGAGATTCAGAAAGAACACCCTCCCTAGTTTCAACAGCAACTGTGGAGCTTTTTGGGTTTTTTTCCCCTAGAATTTCACTGTTTTGCTAGTATTGATTTTTTTCAATTTTTCTTTTGGTATCAAACTGAAAAGGGGAAAAAAAAAACAACCAAAGAACTAAAATTGAAATAAAATGCTTTTTTTATTGGATGCTGGTGCTAAACCTCCCAAGTGTGAGGTTTTTTTCTGTGCCCGTCCTGTTCACTGCAGGACATGGGGAGGACAAACTTCCGCTTTCCTTGTTAAGATCTTTTTGAAACTGTGCAGCATGGGTGACGTTCCTCACAAATAAAAGTGATTTCAACTACCAAAGAAAAAAATCTGGTTTAGAGTGTTTTTTCATGTTTGCTTTTTAAAGAATTCATTATTTTCATCTTGTTCCTTCAGCGTTTATATGTAAAGGAGAGCTGCCTCTTTGGTGTGTCTTGCTGGATGATACCTGGGCATGGTTAGGTGGATATACTTGAATACAAAACTTCTGCAAAGAAATCACTAAACAGCTATAACTTACAGTGTTCCCTCTGTTCCTTTGGCTCTAATGATGTTTGATAGTTGGGTTTTCCTGTTACTGTTTTGTGGCAGGAGTTTGGGGGATGTGAAGTGAGTTCCTGGAATGTTTTTTTTCCTCATCTGTTTTGCTAAGCTTTTGTGTTGTGTAAACAGTAGAATCCAAGTTTTGAGACTCTGCTCAAGAAGGACACTGGCATAGTAACTACCATTTTATCTAAGCTTCTGTTTTGAATAATGCTTGACTGGCTTCTCCACTTTTTATTCAAACCAGTAAAATCTCTGTACCTGTGCCATCTTGTGTTAATGAGCAAAGTACTGAGCTATCTTATAATATCAGTGGCATTTTAGTGTTCCTCGCTAAAACTTGGCTGTCTTCCAGGTGTTATCAGTCTGCTTCCAGTTGTTGAATATGGGTGCATTTCTTGTGTCCTTCATTGTCTAGTCCAGCATTTCTCACTGTCTTGCAGTTGTTGTTACCCAACTCCTAGATAAGCATATTTGTTTCTCAAACAGTCATGTTATTCTTCAGGAGTTGAGCAGAGTGCAGGGCATAATTGCACTCAAAAGGTTTTTGCTTCCAGCTTCTGGGAAGGTGAGGAAGGGCCCTTACACCCTATTGCCTTTGCCTTGGGGACAAGGAGGGTGGGAAATGGCCGTGTTGCCCGAGCTGCATTGATTACAGCTGACTGAATTGCAAGGGATTAGGAACCTCTTAATGAGTTGTGAAGTGAAAGCCATAAGCTTGGTTGAGGAAGAAATCTTCACTTGGAAGATGAAGAAATACGTCTGTTTTCACACAAAATAAAATGCAGTAAGGTGAGGAAAATATAAGTAATGGTACCTTAAAAAAATTCTTAAGCAGGATAAAGTTTTTTAGGCTTAAATTTTGCTCCAAACTAAATGTGCAAGCATACTGGGGAGAGGTTGATAATTTTACCATAACAAGCAGATACAGGTTATTTATAAATACTGAAATGGTTCTGCAGCACTTGTCATAAAAACTACTTGAACTGCCTTCATTTGGTGTTTTTGCTTGAGAGATTTGACAGGCTAAAGAGAATTTTCTTAATCTCTGCAAAAATGTAGGTCAGATTGAATCAGGTTAACAAAAGTATCTTAACTACCTAACTAGTCATCTTCTTTTTTTTATGAATGGAGAAAGTGAGGGAGAGATGCAAGTAATGTCCTAGTAGTATTGGACATTTGTCATTGTTATTTCTGTCCTGCCTAGTAAGAATGTTTGCATAAAACAGAAGCCAGTGACTGACATAACCTACTTCCCTCAGTTCCCTGATAATGAAAATTTAAGCTTAACTCTAATGAAGTTTAAAGCACTTACTAAAATTACATCTTGGATGTCTTGGGCTATACATAAATTGTTCCTTTACTAGGCCTCTTATGCTCTTGTTAGCTGAATTTGCCAGAAAAAAAAAATAAACCTGGTGCTCAATAATGAGGGTCATTTCTCTTGGCAGCTGGTGCTTGTGCTGTAAAGAAGGCTATGGGTTATCTGCATCAAGCAGAATTTCAGATGAGAGCTTAGTTTGTGTTATGTTGGTTTGATTTCTTACAAAGACATTTTGCTCCATGGATTTTGAATTTGCAGAGTAGCTGATGTGCTGCAAAAACATTCCCTGTGGCTTGTGAACTTGAGGAGGATAAAGAAAGGAAGAAGACAGTTCTGTAGGCCTTCCTTTGTGCATTGTTTCATTTGAACATGATTGCAGTACAAGGCATTCACAGTCTGGAGAGATGGGTGTACTGTAAGCTTCTGTCTCAGGCAGTGCTGCTGTCACGGGAGAGCTACACAGGTGCTAAAAGTGCCTTGGAAGTGAAACACTTTCTGTTGGAAAAAAGCTCTGGAAATAAAGCCTGTGCTACGGAGTTTGCTATAAGGCGTGTGAAAACAGCTGTGGATGTCTGACTGTTACTTGCTGTGGATTTTTTAGTCTCTTTGCAGATGCTGAGTTCAAAGCCATGGCTTTAGACATCATTCTGCTTTCTGCTGGTTTGGCTTTTTGGAGAACCAATAAGCCTTCAGTACCACTGTGATTTTGTGGAGAGAAAGTCCATGCTCTGAAATCCTCAGAGCTGTAGGGGAAATAATCTGTGTGAGCCAAGTGGCAGTGGGATCCTGTTGCAGGTGTAAAAGGGGATGAGAAGATTTCGGAGGCCATGTCAGCTAAGTAGTAGCTTAAACTTTCTATTTTGTGCTGTTTGCAATAATGGAGCAAGGCTGCTATGATTGAATTTTTAGTCCTAGAACAGGACAATGATGCACTGAGCAGAAAATGGATCTTGATGACTTAGTACCACCAGCTGATGAAATGAGTAATTAATATTTTAAGGTTTTAAAATGTGATAGAAAAGACTCAGAGCTTCATTATACTTTCTGACTAGTGTCAAAATACATTATTCTTCAATGTTTGGCTGTAAGTTTTGACTTGTAAATAGTGATTTGAGGAGGACCACAAAGGTCCTTAAAATTAATTAATTGTACACTGCCGCTTTCATGCCAATAGTGCCTATGTGATACAGTTCTTGTTCAGGAAAAAAAAAATCATTTTAATAGTATGTGTAAATAGAGGTGTTACAGATTCAGTTTCAGGAAAAATTGCTGCAAGAATCTGGACTGAACTTTTGAAAATATACTAAAAGGTGAAACAGCTCATATGGCTTCTTGAGCCTTTCTGATGTAATTGGGGCTATAATAAAGAACTGGAGGGCAGTAGTAGTAAATGAAAAAATATTCTAAACAGAGCTCTAGGACATGTTCTGACATGGTCAAGATCCCAGAGTGTGAAATGTTCTCATTTCAGCCCCCTTTCAGTTGTTTTACACTGGAAAGAAGGGCACAGTTTCAACCAGAAGAATTTCCATTGGAATTTGCAGAAGGCTTTGTATAAGTCTCATGTGTTTCTTGGTAAGAAACTGTTAATGGAAACTCTAAAACAGAATATTGAGAATACTTATGGCTCCACTTGATGACTCTTGGATAGGTTACTCTTGGGCATCAGCCTCTTGACTTACCAACAGGTGCAGTGCATAACTAAGATCAGTAAATTTTGCTTTGCCATGCAAAAGCATTGCAGTGTTACACACCATGCTACTGCTGACACTTCTCATCACAGAAAATGGGTTCTGGGGTGTTAAGAGATGTCAACAATCCAGTTTACTGGTACTGTTATGTGAGCACTAGATGGGGCTCTTACTCCACTTAATTTGTTCTGGAAATTTATAGATGCACCCCTGTGACAGGAAATAAAGGTGTTAGTGTGGGCTATCTGGGTTCTGCTGCAGGCTCTAGGGGGGCTGAAATAGGGTAGATGGTAAGTAATAACCCAATAAATAAATAAAGGATAAAAATAGCAAAGTTAAAATATAAATATCTTGCTGTATAGTTTTTCTAGGAATAAGCACTGCTGCCTATCCCTAACTTTCCTCTCATAACCATCACATAACTGCAAAGAAAATCTTGGGCAGAACTGAAGACCTACCCATGGGAAAGTCAAGTGTACAGTTCAAAGTTTGTTCTTACCATTTGTACCTCTGGAAATACTTGGTGTTAAAAAACAAACAAACCCAAAGTTAAATTGACTACATATTTTTTACTTCAATGGATAAACATTTTGTCTGAGTTTAGATCAACCACTCTCAAATACACAACCTAAACGTTGGCAAACTTTCAGGGATTATTTAGATGTGATTTAAATCATTACCTCTTCAGAGGAGATGGAGGTGCTCTCACTTGCTGCATGGTGGTTACTTTCTTGTTAAAAGAGACTGATTTTAATAAAATAAAATCCTTAAAATTTATTGCACTGAATTCCATCTCTGATAAATTACTCATTTATGTAAAACCACAAACCATGAGATGCTGCTCTTAATTCACATCCTGACTAAAGAATTTTTTTTGTCCTTTTTTAATATTTCACAGTAAGAACATATGGAGAGAAGCATGTTTTATAGCATGATTAGTTTGGTTTCTGCAGCAATGTCACCACACTCACTGCAGTCTATAATTACAAAAAAAAATTTATTTCATGCCACCTTCTTAGGGTTTGAGAGGAACAATCTTTCTGGGGAAATCAGTTCAAAAAAATGGTTAAAAATCTAATGAAAGAAGATGCAACAACTGTGGATGGTCTATCTAAATAATAAAACTATGTAATTGAACACCTAGATGATAATACTAAATAAAACCATATAAATCTATCTGCAGATCTGGAATTTATAACCTGTGTTTCATTTGGGAAAATAAGCAATTCTTCAGTTTTCTTTGAAAGGCATGGGCTAGTACAATGCTACTAGGCTGGCCCTCTACAGCACCCCTGCTCTCCATCCCCCCAGTTTGTTCAGGTTTCTAAGAATTGCAGTTATACTGACCATGAAGTGAGTATGATCTTCTGGGGAAAAGGTCAGAGGGTGTGTCAGTTGTGTGTGGAAACTCTACAGGGATTACTGATGGGCAGCATGCAAATACACACATTGTTGCCTTTTACCCTCAACTATATGAAGCTATATGTGTAATCTCATTAAAATAATTCCACAGACATTCACGAATAAGTAGTTCCTAGCAAGAGGAAAGCCCATTTCCCACCACATTTCTCCCAGCTGTGGTGAAACCTCCACAGCTGGGAGAAAAAAGGACCTAAGTGGTTTTCCAAGGGATGTCATTCTGGCAGTATGACCGAGTTCAATCTATTCCTTTTTTTGCTCTTCACCTATAGATTCCTGTAGCACCTCTTGCCATTTCTTCTCCATCTGCTCTTTGCACATCAGGAAGACATCTTCCAAGTGCTGCATGGCGTTGGACAGGTCTGGGTTGGTCTGGATGGCCACGCAGTCGTAGGCCATCCAGGTTGCACGCACTGCAAACACAACAGGTATTACTATTCTCTGGCCAGGAAAAAACAATGACTGATTCAATAAACAAATTCAATAAGCAAATTCAATTAATAAAATGAATTATTATCAGTTCAGATCTCAGAGAAGGATGGAAAAAAATAGAAACTGCCTATATTAATACTAGATTAAATAGACTGTTCAGTATTGCTTCTTTATAAATGTTTCAAAATAGTTCATAATGATGGTACACTGATATGAATTACAAAACAAGGATGGACACTTCATCGAAAAATGACAGCAAAACAGGTAATCAAATGGAAAGGGTCAAGAGAGTGTTTAAAAATATATGAATATTATATAAGGAATCCTCCCTCCAGACTGGTTGCAACTTGTGTTAGGTGAGAAAGAATAAGATTGAGGACATTGCAACAGAGATGAAATGTTTTAAGGACAACTTAAGTAATGATCTTGAAATAATCAGTACTTTAAATAATGGAATTGATTTTGAAATAATGAGTATCTGACAAAGCTGAGCAAATAGTTTTAGCACTTATGTACTAATGTATGCTTACGTACTTTCCCTTTTATTTTACCAAGCATTCACTATAGTACACTGACCTGAGAGGTGATATGTATCAATTTTTTAGAATTAAGTCTTGTTTTATAGACTATATTTTAATAATTGTACATTAAACACCTTAGTAATATTTCTGGTTTTAACCAAGACTCTCAACTAAGCATGCATCACCTACTGATTTTTAATTCTGACCATCTGAACCACCTAAATTATTTGCATGCTTTTTCACAATTAAGAACCCGAGGACATTAGTTGATGGTGATTGTTTTAATTACATTTCTATCACACAAAAGTTTACAGAATAAATATAAAAGTAAATCTTCAGTGTCTTTAGTACAAAAATCCATATAATTCCTAATAAAGACCTGTACCTGTTAGTTTTTCCATTTCCTCCAGAAGTTCCTCCATATCTGTTTTAAAGTTCTCCACCATCTTTCCCCTGTTATAATAGTTTCCTTCCTGAGATTCTGATTCAGCCATCTATAAGGAAACCAGGAATCTCCTACTTTATTTTACTCTAAAGTGAGTTGATTTTCATAGTTGAGACAAAGTAACATTGCAATAAAAAATAAAAGCATATACTTTTTAGGTTTACATGTGAATTCAGTAAGAAGCTGACCTTAAGGTTGCTGGTGATCTGTATGCTGCATATGACTTGTGACTCATTTTGAAATTAGTAGAAAGAATTAGCTAAAATGTGCTGTGCTTGTGCAAAATAAATATTTTTGGTATCAGTAATAAAGATCATTGTGTCAAACCCTTCACTAGCAAACTTCATTACCCTGTTGCAGTTGTCTTCCAGCTTCTCTCCCAAATACTCTGACCCAGGTCAACTCCTTATTTTCAAAGTTAGTTGTAAAATCCCCATTTGTAACAGTATTTATTTCACAATTGCAGGCTCCAGCCAGGTTAAGTACAAACAATAAATTCTGTCACCATAGAGGCAGATAGGTGAATATGATTCCCTAATCTCTGCTTAGTTGTAGGGAATTAAATTCTAGGAAGTAAAAATGCTTGGGGTAAGGATAGAGTTTTAGAACCTTAGTGTTCACCGAAAATGTGACACAAAGTATTGCCTTTAATTTCCTTTTCTGAAAACCATCAATGGATGGGACGGCACTGTGAAGAAAGAGACAGAAGAGCTTCAGTGGAGTGACTTTATACATCACACTGCAGAGTTTTTATCCTATGATTTTTCAGACTCAGTAGGTATCTGTTTTCCGGGATTTATTGCCGATATGTGCGGAAGGAACGCGACCGGTGGTTTGTAATGGCTTTTACAGCAGTTTAAACCGGTGCCAAACCTCGGACGCTAGGTGTTCCAAGTGTCTCTTCATACAACGAGGTAAAACTGAGGTTAACCGGGCATCTCCCTTGCCTCGGAGGCCTTAGAGAGCCCAAGCCGCGGTGCTGTCCCACACCACGGGCACCTTTCGGCCGCCGCCACGGCCGCGTCCCCCGGGGCGCAGTGGCCGCGCTGCCGCCCGCCCTCACGGACAGGGCGGGCGGTAACGGGACACCAAACACTGCCCGGCCGCCGTACCCGCCCCTCCCGCCCGCTCCTTGCCCGGGCTCGCGAGCTCGGTTGATTCTGTGTTTCACGAATACAGTCGCTTGTGAGAGCTCGGCGGCCGGGGGAGCGGCGCGGTTGGCACTCCGCAGCGTCGGGCTGTGGTTGTGCCCTGGCACCGTGTTCCGTCTGCTCCTCGCTTCCAGCGCTGCCTCGGCCGGCTCTGTGCGCCATCACAGACAGAATCACAAAATCACTAGGTTGGAAGAGACCTTCAAGATCATCGAGTCCAATCCATGCCCTAACACCTCAAGTAAACCATGACACCGAGTGCCACATCCAGTCTTTTTTTAAACACATCCAGGAATGGTGACTCCACCACCTCCCTGGCAGACAATTCCAGTACTTTATCACTCTTTCTGTAAAAAACTTCTTCCTAATATCCAGCCTATATTTCCCTTGACACAGCTTGAGACTGTGTCCTCTGGTTCTGTCAGTTTCTGCCTGGAGAAAGAGACCAACCCCACCTGACTACACCCGCCTTTCAGGTGGCAGTACAGATTGATAAGGTCACCTCTGAGTCTCCTTTTCTCTAGGCTAAACACCCCCAGCTCCCTCAGTCGTTCCTCACAGGGCTTGTGTTCCAAGGCCCTCATCAGCCTCGTTGCCCTCCTCTGGATGTGCTCAAGCATCTCAACATCCTTCCCAAACCGAGGGGCCAGAACTGGACACAGCACTCAAGGTGTGGCCTCACCAGTGCAAAATACAGGGGAAGAACGACCTCCCTGCTCCTGCTGGCCACACTGCTCCTGACACAGGCCAGGATGCTGTTGGCCTTCTTGGCCACCAGAGCACACTGCTGGCTCGTGCTCAGCTGGCTGTCAACCAAGACCCCCAGGTCCCTTTCTGTATGGGCACTGCCCATCCACACTGTCCCCAACCCATACCGTTGCAGGTGGTTATTGTGGCTAAAATGCAGGACTTGGCACTTGGACTTATACATCATCTTATTGGGCTCTGCCCATCCATCCAACCGAGCCATGTGTGTGGTTTGGGTGGTTTCTACGTGTGCTACAGCTGTCCTGCAGATAGAGGACGGTTATGTTAATAAAACTGCCAGTCTGCTGCCTTTCAGTGTGCTTAACCATAAAGAAAAAAGAACATAGGACATAAAGAAAAAGACAGAGGATGTTAAACAGAACCGGGCCTGCCGTGCTGGGCAGCGCGGCACCCCTCCGCCCCGTACCCGGCGCTGTGCAGTTCCCGCACCCGGAGCAGGGGAGTCGCACCCTCCGTGCCTTCATCTCCGCTGCAGCACGGACCGCCCTCCTCCTCCGCCAGCCCTGCCCGCACCGTCCCCGGGCACGGCGAGCCGCAGGAACTGCAGTCGTGGCGAGAGCGGCCGCTCCAGATGGGCTGTGGTGTCAGGGATTTTCCTGTCAGTAACCCAGAAGGTACATCTGAATTTAAAGCTGGGTGGGGCTTCTGCTGCTCTTCTCAGGGAGTCTCTTCCTGCCTGCGGGATGGAGTGAGACGTCTGACCAGGGCCGGTAATGACAGCACAACGAGCAGCAGGTTCACGGCTAAGGAGAGTAGGTTTATATTGGATATAAGGAAAAAATACTTGCCAGTGAGGATGGTGAGAAGTTGGAACAGGTTGCCTTGAGAAAGTTGTGGATGCCCATCCGTGGAAGTGTTCAGGGTCAGGCTGTATGGACTAGTGGAAAGTGTCTCTGCCCACGGCAGGGGGATTGGAACTGCATCGTCTATGAAGGTCCCTTCCAAACTGTTCTATGATTCTATGATTTTTGCATAATTAAAACAAAAAAAGCCAGAGAAGGTGTTTGCAGGACTAGGCAAAATCAGGTTAGAATTTTTCTGCAGAAAAAGCAACAAAACTCAAGGTTTGTCAGGTGTTAATAGATAGGAATTACCTGCTTTATAGCAGAGTCCCATTTCTGAATTGTCCGTGGTCCAGGTCATGTCCCATTCCAGATCAATATCCAAACACTGAATGGTTTGGGCTGTCTCTTGTTATCCTTTTTCATCCTCACAAACACAAACTTAGTCCTATTTTTAAATTATTTGGTATATTAGTATTCTCATTATGCAGCAGACTTGCTCATCTCTTGCAATTACCGCTCATTTCCCTGCCAACTGAGTAGCTGATTTAAAGATGAGATTCTGTCTTCAAAATAGAATTAAGTATTTATTCACCTAAGTTGCATGAATGCAACTTTATCACAGAGCATTGTGTTGCTAAAGTTTTGCAGGGGTTCAAAAGCAGCTGAGTAAAATCCCTGAATAGAGGGAGTGCTAGTAAATTACTGGACCTTTAGCTGGCTGATGAAGATTGATGCCTAATCATTAGGTCATTTCAGTTTTCTACTTTATTTCTTTTCATATGGTGCAACCTTTGGAAATTTCAAATAACAAATACCGCAGGGCTGAACTGAAAATCACAACAGAATTGCCATTAAAAAAATAGGCTTGTAATTTTTCTTGATTAAGAAACGTGCTACTTAGAGAGGCAAAACTCATGAGGCAGAGTAGACACTTGAGATAATGATGGGAGGTTTTCTTGCACGTTAAGATTGTTCCTGTGCTGTGCCATGTTGTGCTTATCTGCAGAAACTATATCAAGGGTGTGTGTACCATAAAAGTGCTGCCCTTCCTTCTGCATGGCCCCTTCCCCCACCACATCTTGTTCTTTCTCACAGCGTGCTGTTACCAGCGATCCTTGGTTGGCTCTGCAGCTGCCTGGCTGCTGTTGTTTGAGATTTACACATCAGCCCCTTATCTTCTGAGTTTCTATGCCTTGTGGGCTTAAGTTGACCAAAAGATCAGTCACAATATATCAGCTATAAGCCACAGTTTTAAGTCATATTAGAAGGTGAAAATAACTCAAGAAGTTCACTGCTTAGTCCCAGAACCCATCTTGAGGCTATGGTGCAGCAGCCTATGGTGCAGTTAGGTAGGTTTGTACATGTGCTACAGCTGTCTTGGAGATCAAGAGGATGTTTATGTTAATAAAACTGCCAGTCTGCTGCCTTTGAGTGTGCTTAATCATAAGGAAAAAACAAAGAAGGATAGAGGATGTAAACAAGTAATGTTTTCTTTGTGGATGCACATACAATACAAGACATAGCAGGAAAATTCTGTTTTTCACAGGACAATAAATTACTTCTGTCACTTCACTAAGCAGGGCAAAAAGCATGTTGATGAATGAGGAGGATTATATAGGCTGAAGCCTGAATTCTGAACCATTAAAATCTTATCCGACCAGTCAGACTGGGAGCACAACAGAGACACTGGTGGGGGAAATTAAAAGCTGCAGCCATTGTTGCTTTTGCATATGCTTACCCTGAATATTTAACCCTTTGCCTTTGACACTCTCTTCCACAGTAGGGAGGTGTAGAAACTGAAAGGGGGAAGATTTTCAGTTGTCATATTTTTAAACAGTAATCTGAAAAGGTTTTTCTCCAGGTGCCCTTGAGGAGGGTGCCTGTGGAATGTAACTCATTTCAGTAAGAAACTCATTTAAATGAGGCACTGTTATTTGCATTTTACTTACTGTTTAATGGAGAATGAGGTATGAGACAGATCCCCTGCTCCTTCATGGAGATAACACTACAGAGAGTCAATGCAAATTAGTACCAGAATGAGAGGAAAGCTGAAATCAAGAGTCTAAACCTACATTCTGCAGCTGTAGTGATCTTTCTATTTAAAGAAAATTTTCAATCTAGAATATGTCTCTCCTGGTTTCTCAGGAGATAAAAATCCATATCACAGGACTATTTTGCTGATACTACTTTGCCCACTCCTGCCAGTGTCTGTAGAGAGATCAAGTAATGAAAAAGTCATTCCTGTTTTCACCATTTTGCACACATGGGTTAATGCCAGCTGGAGGAATAATGCTAAGGAGAAGTCTCTCTTAAATTAGCTATTGTCTTTTGATACCCAAAAGTATTGATGGTGCCACAACTAAATTTTCACCACAACAACATAATTATATGCAGCAACAAAATGTTAATAGGAGTAGGTGAGTTTGGCCAAAACGGTTGGCAGAGATCACATTATCTGCTGCAGCTTCCCCAAACCACCTGCATCGAGTTTCTGAGTGTGAAATGAAGTTTGTCTCTCAACAAGAAGTAGGTCTCATGGTTTTTACTCTTGAAATGCAGCTCCTCTCACTCCTATGAGTAGGTAAGCAGATAATCTTGTGCAGACTCACATAAGCAGGACTCTGGAACTCTTAACACAAGATTTATCAGTAATAGGGGAGGGCAGACCAACAGCTGGGCTTGCATACATGGATTGGTTGGGAAGAAAGTCCCCAGAACTGAAATGCAGAGGTGTGATGAAGATTAGACCCCACGGCTGCTGAGGACACCAGCAGAGCACAATGGAGATCCCCAGGCCATCATGGCAGGAAAAGGTCACAGGGAAGTTCAGGAATATTGTCTGGTGTGTTTGGGGAGCTCAGAGTGATGTGAGGAAAGGGCAGGGGAAAGCCAAACTTTCCAAAGTTCTGGCAGAATGCCTGAACAGCCCAAGCAGGAGGGTCACCAAGGGGCAAGGCAGAATGTGAAAAACTCTGTGTTTCTGCTGTCTGCTGTAGCATGTTTTGATATCATTAGTCTTTTATCTCTTTCTTCATTTGCAGGCTGTGTTCCTGACGGAATGCTTTTTCAGCCTCTGGAGTCCTGGGGGTTTTGTACAGATTTTCTGTCCCAGGAGCACATTCTTTGTAAACATGAACCTGTAGCCAAAAGCGTATGAATTCTATTTATTACATAACCTGTCCCTCTGTATTGGTGTGCCTTTCAAACCCCACTGCAGGTGCCTGCTGAGGGCTCTTTGTTGTGCCTGTCTCTGTAGTCAGCCCATGCGCAGCTGGTGTGTGGAAGCTAGGCAGACCTGTTCTGCAAGTATCTGCCTTCCTGTCAGCTGTGTGTTGGATATCCCAGGGGAGACCAGCAAAGAGCTGAAGCTGGGCGGGACTGGATTAGAAAAATCAGCGAGGAGGAACTTAATCATAAGAATTAAAACCCTGCCAAGGTAGTCATAGGAGTTAATGGGAGTGGCCTCACAAGCTGGGAACCGGCAGCAGGAGAGCTTCAGGAAAAGACAACCGCCGGGCAAGGGAAGTGGTGTCATTCAGGTAAGTGAGAGAAAGCACTTCTGGAAGATCAGCCCATGACTATTTATTTCTTAAAAGACTTTTATTAACATAAATGTGACCTGAATTAGAAGGTGGCTGTACTGTAGAGTCTATATGTCTGTGTGTGTGCATGTACATATGTGCATGTGCTTACTGCTGGTAGTGAAGCTACTTAGAGCCATTTCTGTGATCATTATGGTGTTGGGGTTTGATGAAAAAAATAAAAGAGGGATGTGTCTACACACTGTCTGATTTTAATTAAATCACTCACAGGCTTTTTTTAAGGAGGAAGAAATTAACAAAGCAATTAAGTTTTGTATAAAATTAGTCTCAGTTCACTGAAACAGGGTGATGCTATGAATATGTGTATAAATATGTCCAGTCTTAAGTAATACATGCTTAGGGCTGAATTCAGAACTAATTACTGTTTTACTGCCATCGCTGTTGCTTGATTGTAATGCAGTGATCTCTAACCCAAAGTGGTGCAGATATCTAGTTTTTCCTGTGTTTACCTGTGTGTGCATGAGCTACTGATTAAGTTACAAACAAAATCTGTGTTAAATCCACCAAGAAACATCCAGAACTTGGGAAACTAAAACTAAAGTTGTCTACACAACTTCAGGTGGCTGTGAATTTATCAAAGCAGATTCAGGTTTGATTTCTGAAACCATTAAGCAGCAATGTGATGTCATACAGTGTTTTTATCACACAGTAGATTTTCCACAAGAGCTATATGTATGTGTGGTCCTTTGAAACAAAAATCCTTCATTCTTCTCATGTTCTGTCATAGCTTTTACTGTCACAGTTTTTCAGAATTTCTGTATTTGTGCTGGGGTTTGATACAGGCTTAATACAGGCACCTACCAGCAAAATCAGAGCTCAGTCAGCAGGGAGACATTTTCAAAAGTAGTATATGATTTTGCTTTCATAAAAGGAAGCCATAGGTGGTAGTGTACTGCTGAAAGTTTGGCCTCTAGACTTTTAATAGCCTGCTCATTAAGGCCTTCAGCTTAATGTATTCCTTGGGGTTTTTTATTATTTTAACTCATTCTTCAGATTACCTGTGAGGAATTACTTTTGGTGGCCTTAATTAATTTGGAATGTTCAAGATATATGTTAATTTTCCAGAAACTATAGTAGTCCATGTCTGCATTAGAAAAAATGTCTTAATCCTCATTCAGGTTCTGTACCATTTCACATTTCTGTACTTAGATTTCCTTATGCAGCACAAATAAATTAATTTTTGTAGATGATCTAAGCAAAACCTAGCACTGTAAGAACTTGCATATCTCCACTGAAATGGTGCCAGTTAGAGCTAACATTTTTAGCATAAAAGCACAGCAGCATTGAGTCCTCCTGACTAATTTTTCAGTGCAGTAGTAACTGTTAACTTTGCCTGCTTTTTCTGCTATATTGAAAAGGAGCCAAGTTTCCTCTAAGTAACCACCTGCTGAAATAGCAGCATGAGCCTCATTATTTGCTGTTTTCTCTATGTTCTAGCTCTTCAAAAGTGGGCAGCCTAATTTTCTTCCACTCCCTTAATATCCTTCTGTAGCAGCTAGCCTAGGTTTAATATGCAAGTATTGCTTCTAATTTTGGACCAAAAGAAAATCTTGTGTTTCCGTATCTGATTTTTGAAACACTTTGTTTTCTTACAGGGTATTACAGCTACCAGCTGTTTCAAAAGTGAGTTATAATACTAAATCTTGATAGCTGAGACAGTCCAACAGCAAGCCACAGGATATTATTTTTAGTCCTTGTCCACAAGGACAGAAGGGACGCTGGTGTAGCTGGTCAGAATTTTCCATTCAGCACAGGTGAAGATGCTGCTTGGTAACCCACAGGTGCCTTGCAGTGAGAGATTAGGTGACTCCATGGGCCAGGGAAGCCTTGAAAAAATGACATGGTCTGTCAGGCTGTTGGAAATAGTCACTAAGGTCTTCTTCAGGCAGAAGAGACAGAATATGCAGTCTAACAAATGCATGGCTGAAACCTGTCGGGCTCATTTTTTTATTTGTTTTGGATGCTGCTTTTAGTAAATGGTGGACAAAGCAGAGGAAAAAAAATCTCTTTTTCTCTGTTTGCTTTGCAATGGTGCTTTATTCCTCCCTCTTTTCTTACATTCAGTGTCCACAACTGCCTACTCCTGTGGTTTCCTGCTGCTTTGGTTCCTGTAATTCCCTGGTAGCTCCTCTCCCTTCCTGCTGCACAGCCAGCACAGTGCACTTGTGCACAGCAGTTGCCAAAGCCTTGACTGTTGACCATGTTCAAAGGTCAGATAAAAGAGGAGGGAAATAGTAAAAGCAGCAGTGAAATGGTAACGGGAGAAGCTAGAGAGCAAGGTTTTGCCACTGCAGGAAACTGAGTGGAAGACATAACGTTTAAGGATTTGTCTTTTATCACTCAGACAGTGTGCTGGACTGCAGTTACTGAATGACTCAGCTGTACTTTATATGTCTGTAGTCACATTACAGCTGGTCCTCGCAATTGGTGCATGAAAAACAAGTGTAAGAATATTTTTATAAAAAAGTGGTGTGCAGTTAACATGGGACAGGATGTCTGGAGAAATAACTGCATTAAGTCCATGTCAGCGCATAGCACTTTTTAAAGGGTCTAATGAAGATCTAGATGAATCTTAGCCTTTATTTTCGTCATATTTAATTAATCAGCTGTTTCTTTAGACCTTTAGCTAATCATTACACAAGGATTTACATGTTTGCACTGATGATGAGAACTGCTCGTAGCTTACAAATTAGACATATTCAGAGGCAAAACTGTGAATTTGGACAACTTACTATCCTGAACATGGCAGGAGCAAGCAGCAGGCAGCTTCTGTGTGGGCAGTATTTGAGCTGTCTGTTCCATATATTCCATGGGCGTCTTAAGTCTTGATATTTCTTTTCAGTCTTCACCACAAAGTTTGTCACTCAGACTTCTTAAGTCTTAGTCCTGACACTTTAAATAACATAATTTGAACTTAATGAGAACTTCAAGGCCATAAAATGTCAGAGAGCATTGATTATTTCAGGTCTTTACAATTATGTGAATGCTTCTGCTATTGCTGAGGGGACAGTTCCATGTGAGAATGAGTGACAGGGGATTGGAAAAATCACGGTAAGGCTTCTGCTGGCGCCCAGTGCTTGTGGATCTGTGCTGACACAGGGAGTGGTTTCACACTGCAGCTTTAGATGAATTAGCCATTCACCCCTGACTAATACCAGCCACTAAAATAGCAGGAAATCATGGCAAAAGAGCAATGGATTTTTCCTGCTAGGTTAGTAGTTTGAATCAAGTTACCATGTGATCGATTGCACAACTGAGAGCAAAGCAAGAAATGAGAACACAGCAGAGACAGGAGATAATTCCTTCTTTTGGCATTGGTGAACACTTAATTCAGCTCAGCTACATTCACATTCAGTATTTGGGTTTCCTGAACTGCTTTAAGCAGCTCCCACAGATGATACCTTCTAGCTGCTTGTTCCTGTCCCTGTGTTGCCCAAGTGCTCATCCTGTTCGCAAATGTGCAAAGAGGAACAGTGTTGGTGTAGGATGAGAGCTAATTAATCTGTCACTGCTGCCAAGCTGTGGAACTGCTGTGCCACATGTAGTGCACCAAGTAGTCTGCTAGGAGCGGTTTGCAAGTGCAGGTGACTGTAGTTTAATTTCTGCTAAGGTTTTGCCTTATATTTCCCATTGTCTAAGAACAGCTGCTTCTGCTATTTTTAGCTACTGTGGTCTTCATTGTATATTTGGCTTTGACATCAGGATTTGGGTTCAGGTTGAGGGTCAGAAGGCTCTGCAGAGGGATCTGGACAGGCTGAATCCATGGGCTTGGTCCAGGTGTGTGGGGTTCAACAAGGCCAGGTTGTGGGTCCTGCCCTTGGGTCACACCAACCCCCTGCAGCTCCAGGCTGGGGCAGAGGGGCTGGAAAGCTGGGAAAGGCCCTGGGGGTGCTGGGGACAGCACTGGACAGGAGCCCAGGGGTGCCCAGGGGGCAGGAGGCCAATGGCACCTGAGCTGTGCCAGCCATGGTGTGGCAGCAGGGCCAGGACAGTGACTGTCCCCTGGGCTGGCACTGCTGGGGCCACACCTCAGATCCTGGGGAAGTTCTGGGAACCTCAGGACAAGAAACACATTGAGGGGCTGGAGCATGTCCAGAGAAGGGAATGGAGCTAGGAGAGGGTGTGGAGCACGAGGAGGGGCTGAGGGAGCTGGGGGGCTCAGCCTGGAGAAAAGGAGGCTCAGGGGGGACCTTCTGGCTCTGCACCACTCCTGATAGGAGGGGACAGCTGGGGAGGATTGGGCTCTGCTCCCAGGGAACAAGGGACAGGACAAGAGGAAACAGCCTCACGTTGTGTCAGGGGATGTTTATATTAGATCAGGAAAAAGTTCTTTACTAAGAGTTATTAAACATTGGAATGGGCTGCCCAGTGAAATTGGTGGAGTCACCATGCCTGGAAATGTACAAAAAGCCTGTGGATGTGGCACATGAGGGCATGGTTTAGTGGTGAACATGGTGGTGGTGCTGGGCTGACTGTGCGATTTGATGGTTTTAATGATCTTTTCCAACCTTTACAGCTCTATGAATTCCAGTGAATGGAATTCAGTCTGTGTAAAGGAAAATTTCAAAAATTCAGTGGAATGAACAAGCTGACATTTAGTAAAAATTGCACAAATTCTCTAATGCAAATCCTAAACTGAAGTAACACAGTGTATGTGTGCACATGATCTAGACAGCACTGATCTTGGTACAGTGTTAACCCACAGGCAAGAAAAATCAGAATGCCAGTAAGGCACAGATTTTGAACCTTTTAAGATATTTTTGTTTCCTTTATTCTGTCTTGAAAAATGTCTTAATCTAATAAAATTAGTTGAGCACTGTCAGTAGTCCTGCTCTGTGTTGAGTATGCACATGAACATGTTAGTTCCACATAATTTTCATGTGTCTCCCATTGCAAAAAATATTAAATATATAACATGAGTTCTGTGGATTTCCAAGTTACCATTCTCTTTGTGAGGATAGGAATGTAAGAACTGCAGTGATATTACTGTTAGACAAGTAAGCTGCAGAAACAGCCTAGTCCAGGAATTTATTTAGTCTTGACCTGAAAAGTAGCACTGAAAGGCACTTCTTCAGAATTACCTTACTGAGCAAAACTTCTTTTTCTGCTTGCTGAGTATTGTGAGAGGATAGAGAGGTAGAGTGTAAGTGCGCTTCTGTAATCAATCTTTTCCAGTGCTTACACCTCCATGTGAAACCACAGCACATGGGAGTGCCAGGGCAAATAAAGACAAATGACTGCCACTGTTTTCATTCCTGGATGCCATGGTTCTGCCCTGAGTATGGTTGGAAAACATGAGTGCCACCCACTGGCACTGGTGAACACTGCTGGAAGGTGCATAAAGAGTAGGGAGGAATCTTTTTTACAGACAGGGACCAGTGTAGACATGGCTGCTGTGTCAGAGCTTTTTCCATGGATCTTTGCTGCTCTCTCTGTAAGCATAAATTGGGATGTGTGTGCTTTTGTGTGCCTGTGCTTGCATGGTGTGTAAATATCAGTGTGCATTTCTAGTAAGCACCTGTACAAAGCCATTGGCAAGTTTTAAGATGGAGCTTGGACTGTTCATGACTTATACAATATGATTACTGGCTACTGGTCCTGAAATCTGTGTGTACCTGAGAATGAAGGAAGCCAGGCCTGGTCCTGTGTATTTGTGTGTAAATGTGTGTGTGTGTTAGAGCTGAGGTGGGTTGTTTCAGTGTGCTTGCTTTCAGAGTGTACATGAAAAGCTTGGTATTATTGCTGTGTTATTACTCCTTTGACTGGATTCCTGGTGTAGCCAGCCTTGGAACTAGGTAAATCTGCTAGCATATTAAGAATGAAATCAAATAAAAAAAGGAAACAGGCTTTTTGTGATACCTTAAAGCACAGATATATTCCATTTTCCTCTTTCTGCTGTCTCTGATGTGCAACTGGTAAAGAATAATTTCACTCATTAATTTTAAGCATGAGGACAAACTATTAAACTTTTCATCACCAAATTCCATAAAATCAATGCTCTATATTTGCCATTGAGGTTAATTGCCTAAAACGCATAGCTGAAAACAAAGTAGATGTTTTCAGGATAGAAGTCATGATTCCTATAAAATGTTCTAGATAATACTGTTTGCGAAGCTGTTACATTTTGGCAATGTTTATAAGAAGCAGTGACTAAACAAGGTGCATGCTTGTACAGGCTGTGGATTTTCAGCTACAAATGCAGAAGAGTTGCAGATGTTGTGTTTCAGAATACCTACAGACTTGGCAGTGCTCAGAAGTTGGTACAAGAGAGCCCTATGACAACTCTTTTTTCTCCTTGTCTTTGTACAGCAACAGGAGGAGTTGTGGCAAGGACTGTAGTCAAGAATGACATTTTCTCTGCATGCTGCTGATCTGTTCACTTGTAATATAGCAGAAGATAAAATGCTGAGCCATTCTGGCATCTTCAAAATGGGTTAGCTAGGAGGGTATTAGATGTTCTTTAAATATAATTAGGTTCATATCTATGGATTTTTGTACATATGCCAGCCTTTAGGACTAGGGGTCCTCATTTGCTTGTGGAGCACTGCAGAACAAGCTTAACCCTAAATTCTCTCTGGTCATGCAGTGCATCGTCCACAGGATGTGATAGTGCATATCCTGCGTCATTCTGGAAGCCTTTAAATCCCAGTGCTGCTTCATGCAGCCACTGATTGTAAGGGGTAAAAAGCTCCCTATTCACTTCACTTGTTGCTTCATCATCATCCTTTCTCCTAATAAACTGTTGTTATTCTTTATGTCTGTGCAGGAAGTGGGGGTTGGAGGCTTGCTTGCTTGTAACTGAACATGGCAGGGGATGCGAAAAGATTCTCACGGATGCTTCTGGAGTGCAATAGCAATGACAAGCTATGTGGTAAGATTCACACATTCCTTTAATAAGATTTCACATGCTTGCAGGAAGGCCAGGTTCACTGAAAAAATGTGCCAAGCCTTTTCTCTTCCTCCACTGCATCCCAGTCCACACAGAAAGATTTGATGGAGCTTTTCCTGTGTTGTGTTTCAGGGAAGAAATGTTTATGGGGATGAAGCCTCTGTGGCTGGATTAATCTCACGTAATTTCAGCCATTTTAGAGAATTCCTACTTCAAATGAGGTGTACAGCAGGCATTAAAGATTCCCTGCAGCTTCCCAAAGGACTAGTTTTGTGGGATTTTGATTTTGTGACTTTGCCATCTTTCAGAATGGAAAAAATGGTCTCGACCACCTCCAAATCTGGGGACATGTGAAAGATAGTTACCTTCACAAGCCTTGCTAATTGCAATGTCTTCCAGTCAAATTCCAAAGGTGACCACGCCTAGTTTCCTTTAAAATGCTCTGTGTAATTTTACTGGAAGGAGCTGGAGCTGTAATTGCATGTGATGACATAGCAAAATCCAGCCCGTCCCATCTCCCTGCTGTCCTGCTTCCAGTGCTGCTTCTGTTTCACTAGTGGATGTGACTTCAAATGGCTACAATTCCTGGCCTGCATATTAAAGCATCTAAATAAGTGACCTTAGGTGTGGGAGTCTTAGTGATTTCATGCAGTTTAGGTACTCAGCACCTTTGAAAAATAAGGTGTCAGCACTAACAGTGTTCAGCTATTCCAGAGGATGGACCACACACTTTTGGTGTTGAAAGTTACTGAAATGGATTGTTGCTACATGGTTATACAGAACTAAGTGTGCTGCTTACTCCTTGGTTTTCCATTTTCTTTCTCTGCTGACAGTTGTGCGTGAGTATCAAACAGAAGTGATCATTGTCCCAGTTCTCCTGGTGGGAGTTTTTGTCACTGTCCTCACTGTGATCCTTTGGCTCCACTGCCGCGGCCTGCGAGCAAAGCAGGAGCAATCAGCACCAGCTGAAACCCAAGGTAAAAAAATGCTTTTCAACAAGAGGAAAGAGTATTGTTTTCACAGCCAAAAGCCAATTCCATTTCCCCATCACTTGAGCTGTTAGGCAAAACCATTTATGAGGATCCTGACTGGTATTCAGCAATCCAGTAAACATTAGGAAAATTGTGAACAATGATATACTTAATTTTGCAGTGTTACAGCAGCCTCCTTGAACCAGGTCTCATAAGCTCTTGGAGGTTTATAACACACCCAAGATAGCTCAGCTACCTTTGGAGGCATAAAATCAGCAGGATGGCTTCTGTTGCAGTGTTGGAAACAAAAAAGTTTAATAAAAGGCAAAATAACAAACAGAGAAAAACCGAGCCAGGTGCAGGAGGTTCTTGCTCCTGGTAAAACACCTCACAAAAGTGATTAGTTTCTTTGTTCACTTATTTTTCTAGTAAATTGCCCAGGTGGGACTTTTTGGCTTCTGTCCAGTTAGCTATCCTTAAGTTTGAGGTGAAGTCCCCTAGGCCTATGAGATGCCTTTTCACCTAATCAGGGAGTGAAACTTCTGGGCCTCTTTCCTTTTTAAGGGGACAATGGATAGTATTGTCACTCCATCAACAGAGGGGCACATTCCTACATTGCAGGAGCAGTAGTGGAATCTGTAGTATGGATGGATCTGGGAAAATCTAAAGCATCGTGTCATGTAGGCTGTTTAACATGCTGTGGTAATAACATCACAAGAGCTGTGAAGTGTATTTATGTAACAGCATATGAAGGCTGCTGCAAGGAGAGTTTTACTAGGGTAATTATGAATGATAGTAATTTTTATGTAGATTACACCTAGTTAATCTATTTTGTATACTGCCATTTAAGAAATTTAATTTCAAGCTGCTGTCACCCTCTTCCTTTGGAGACAACATGAAGTAGAACAGGGTGAGGGGGTAGTAGGTAGTAGAACAGGGTGAAGTAGAACTGGTAAGGGGGTAGGGAAAGGCTTGTGGGTACATGTGTGGCTGTGGAAATGAAAATGCATTTCTGAACTAATTTTGGGTATGTTGAGGGAAACAGATCTTGAGCCTATATTAAGAGAAATAATTGAGAACTGGTAATAAAAGAAAATGTTCATTTTCTTTTATTTTTCATTTTCATGGGAATGAAGTCCAAATGTGTCTTATCTATTAAGGTTATGTAGTTAAATATGGAAGAAATTTCTAGACTGGTTCTGTCTTCATCAAATAGAGTGGGAAATAAATTCTTTGTCCTCTTCAGGGGCCAGGATAAGTAGGATACAATAACAGTTCCTTACTTTGCCCTGATTTCTGAAACACTGTGGAGCAAAAATTAAAGAGCATGGAAGGATGAGCATACTGGCTGATGTCACTCCTATTCTCCTCATACCTGGAGGGTCTGTCCTGGTGTCCTTCCCTGGCAAGCGGCCAGCATCAGGGGGACAATGGTTAATCACCAGCCATTAACAGGTAATTGAAGAACTCCTCTTTAGCAGTGAAACTAGCTTACAGCAACTGGTCTGACTTGTTTTTTAACTCTGCAACCTAAAAAAAAATAGATAGCTTTCTATTCATAACAATTGCCATCTATTACAAGAGTAATAGATGTCTGTCTGCTTTTATGCATCATATGTATTTGCTTTTGTCAGTGACAAGAAAGAATCAGCAGGAACCCTGCTCAACAGAGAACCACTACATCCAGCTGACTGAGAGATCTGTGGAGAGCCTGCTAAATTCTGGATCCTTGACTCTGAAAGAATTAGAGATACCACGAGAGAAACTCTTACCAGACACCTTGCAGCTGATAAAACTTGGGAGCTATGGGAGCATCTACAGAGGACAGCTAGAAACTGGGAGCTCTGGGAAGACAAAGACTGTGATATTGAAAGCCTTGCAAGGTGTGGCCCGTGATCAGGATCCATTTTGGTACAGTCTCTGTATCCCAGACATGGTGCTGGGAAGAGCGTTGCCATCAGTACTGGACAAGAACAAGCTATGTTCAGTACAGTAAGTCCGAGATGTTCCTGTAGGAATGTCTTGGTAGGATTAAAGATTGCTGATCATGTTGGTTTTAGCTGTCAGCCTGTTGTTTGCTGCTTTCTTTTGTTGTTGGTTTGGTTTTTTAAAATTTGTTTTCTTTTGTTCTCTCAGATCCAGCTAGTCCCCAGAAAGTAAAGGATTTCTTGGGAAGGATTAAATTTCATCAAAATCTTGGCCATCATGAGAACCTGGTTGAATTGGTTGGATGTTGTGTAGACCAGCTCCCACTTTATATGATCATGGAAGATGTGTCTCTTGGTGACCTGTTGACATTTCTGTGGACATGTCGGAAGGTGAGTCAAAAGAAGCGATGACAGAATAGCTTCTTGAGTTCCTTAGGTACATATCTATCCCTAAGTCATAAAGTATTTTTTTCATCTCTCCATGCATCCCTCTATATAAATCAAAACTATTTCCATGCTCCAAAGAAGTTCTACACAGTCCTACTTGGCAGACCATTGAAGGGCATTGCAGGCAGTAGAATTAGAATGAATTCATACAGCCACCTGCATTTCTAAAGTTTTCAATCATGTCTCACTCCAAATGCTTTTAAGAAAGAAGAGCAGTTACAACACAGGGGAAGGTCATGGGATGATAACTAATTGGTAAAATACAGAAAATAGAATATAAGAATGAAAGGTTGGTACTTGCACTGAAGGGAGGTCAGCTATCTAGGGCATGGTGCTGTTAATTCTATGTATTAATACCCTAAAAATGGGATGATAGTGACGTGAGGATATTTGCTGATGATTCCAGCCAGTAAAGCCAAGGGCAGACCCAAAGGAATTGCAGAAGGATCTTCCAAGATTGAGAGACTTGTCAATAAAAAGAACAGATGAAATTCAGCATAGTTAAAAATGAAATAATGCACAGGAAGAAGTTTCATATATGTGAATGATGTCTTCATGTCTGCCCATTGCTGATGAGGTCTGATGTATGAAAATATGCAGTTCATTGAAAATGAACTCAAGCTAAAAAAAGAGCCTAAATATCAGGGGAGGTTTCTATTGGATAGCAGGAAGATATTCTTTCCCCAGAGGGTGGTGGGGCACTGAACAGGTGCTCCAGGGAGTGGTCACAGCTGCAAGACTGTCTGAGCTCCTGGATTGTTTGGACGACACCATCAGGGACAGGGTGGGGTTGTTGGGATGTCCTATGCAGGACCAGGGGTTGGACTTAATGGTCTTTTTGGGTCGCTTCCCCTTCAGCATATTCTGATTCTATGACTCATTGTTACAAAAGACACGGAAACAAAACTCTGCTGTTACCATGTAAATCCATCACTCTCCTACATCTGAAACTCTAAATAGAGAAGGATTGATTCCTGTCCTGTTCAGCAGAAGGTCCAGATGGTAGGAAATAAGGCTAGTACATGTCACATTCAAAACAAATAAATGGAGCTGATTCTTCATGATCTAAGGATTTGACTAATGGAATGTCAGTGACTGCTGTGGATAGCCACTGACTGCTGTGGATACTGACAGTTCATATGAGGTCAGTTATGGAAGGTAATCTTTCAAAGGTTACTGAACATGTTGAAACCATAACCATCTAAGGAAGTTTTAAGTAGAACGTATCTGTAGGCTGTAAAGTGGCACAGGAAGAACATTGTATGCTTACCTTACTCTCTCTCTCATCTCTCTCTCTCTTACTGTTACAGGCAGGGTGGTAGGAGAGATGGATTGTTATTCTCATACCAGGTGCCCAATTCAAGTGTTAGAAATGTGCTTTTCTACTCATCATTTTAATTTATAATATATCTTTTATTCACCTGCGTGGATTGTCATTCTTCACTGTCATTCTGACAATTTCTAACATTAATTTTTTCCCCACATGTCAATTTGCCCACCAGATGTCTATAATAGACTTGTTTTACTCAACACACTCTCAACATCACCCATCCACATCCTCCTACATTTCAGTCAATTTATGAGAGATTATGAGAAGGAAGAGTATAAGAATACATAGATTAGAAGGAAACATTCCCCACAATCCTACTGTGGCAAGTGCTGTGGCATTTGCTTGAACCAAGGTCTCTTACTTTGTGTCTAGGATGTAATGGCAATGGATGGTGTCCCCTATGACCTCACTGAGAGGCAGGTATATGAGGTTGGACAGCAGGTTGCAGCAGCTCTGGTAAGTCTGCTCAGGTTGGCTGTATTTTTTCCTTCTTGCTTGACTGTAACACAAGTTTGTGTGGTGGCTGAAGTCTTCTTGGCCTAAGCACTGAGAATAAAGGCTTTGTTAAAATATGCTTCCATTATGTCGGTGGCACATGTAACTTCACAATATTGAAGGTAAGCATAAACTCAGTGACAATTTGTATCAGTTAAATTTGCTTTTAAAAATCATCCTGTCTTCTTTCTTTTCCAATTTCCCAGGCTTATCTCGAAGAAAAGAACTTGTTCCATGGTGACATTGCTGCCAAGAATGTCCTTCTCCATGACAACTTCACTGCTAAGCTCTGTGGTTTGGGCCTGGCCTATGAAACTCACACACATGGTGCCAGCTCAGTCACACGGAAAGTGCCCGTCAAGTGGCAGGCACCAGAGAGGCTCCTGAGCAAACCCCCTACCATCAAGGCAGACATGTATGGCTTCATTTTGGGACTAGAAGTTCACCTGTCTCTTCCACTCCTTTATGTATGATTTCATGTCCTGAAATTCACAGGAAGGCAGATGTAGTTTCAGCATAACACTCCACTTTTACAGCTCATTCTTTCTCCTGTCTGCAGGCCATACCTAGTTGTTTTTAGGTATTTAAGCCAGCAAACAACATTACTTTGTTTTATTTTCTTGCAGATGGTCTTTTGGAATTCTACTGTATGAAATGATTACATTAGGTAAGAAGATTTAATGCTAATTAAAAAAAAAAAGAAAAAACATAGGGAAGCAGCAAATTAACAAGATCCAAAATCTCAAATTTTAGAATGTAAAGTTGGGCCATTTAAATGAGCACTCTGCTTTTTTCCAATTTGCAAAGTCTCATCAATTCCTTTTAGACCTTCTGTTATTGTAAATTGTGGTAGGAAAAAAATCCCAGATTTTGGTAGGGAAGGAAGGCAGTCTTGCACAGAAGCTGCTCTCTGCAACCACTGCCATAGAGTTTTCTACCATTGCTCCTTTTGCCCTTCCAGGTGCTCCACCATATCCTGAGGTGCCACCTTCTGACATCTTATCATACCTGCAGAAACAGAATATTATGAAGCAGCCCTTGAGCTGTCAGCAAGCCATGTAAGCCACTTGCTTTGTGGACAATTGAACATGAGGTTGGCAAAACTAAATGGAAATGAGACATAGAAAATGAGATTTTATACAAAATTTCTAAGTCTAGATTATGCAGAGAGTAATCTGCTAGCTGAGGAGGTTTGTGTCTGCTGCATCTCCTTACTGAGTTCTGCTGCATAAAACCTCTGTGGCCAAAACCTTTCTGTCCTGTTGAAAATGACACTTGTTTCTGTTTGCTTAAGTACCCTTGCATTTTGCTGCTCCACTGCTTCCTTGCAAGGTGCAGCACTGCTGGGGAATGATTTTTCTCCTCTAAGTTATAGGATATTCTCTGAAGCAAACAAAGTATCCAAAGGGAAGATCTAAGATACATTTCATTGTATGAAGGCATAATTTCATAATTTCTTGATTTACAGGTACTGCATCATGAAGTCCTGCTGGCAGTGGAGTGCAGCTCACCGGCCTTCCCCAGCACAGCTCTTGTGCTCCCTGAAAACAGCTATGAAGACCAGCAATGGGCACACAGTGCTGCAGGTGCCTGAGCCAGTGGTGCCTGAACTCTATGCTGATGTTGCTGGTGTTGATGTGCATAGCCTGGTGAGGGAATACACAATCCTCTAAAGGGTCCTTTCATATTTTGGTAAAGCAGAAAGAAGTCTCAGAGTTTCCCTTTCTAAATATTTTGCAAGCTTGGAATGAGGTGTGTATATTGGAAGGGATCCCTTTGTTCTTCAAACATCTATATATCTTCATGCTAGACACAAGAAACTGTTATCATCATTGTTAAATCAACTTGTTGGTATCATTCTGCCCATCATTTGGAAGTAAAGTGTGTTAGGAAGCTGTAGAAAATGTAATGAGAAACTTGAATTAAAGGAGTGTTTGGTTTGTCTGGCAAGGTTTTGGTGGTGGGGTGGACTGCAGAGGTGACTTCTGTGAGAAGATGCCAGAAACTTCCCTCAGCTCCACGATGGACCTGCTGCTGGTCAAGGCTAAGCCCTTCAGCAACACTGGTAGCACCTCCATGATTACATATTTAAGAAAGTGTAAAAGATACTGCACAACAGCAGGTGAAAGAGAGGAGTGTGAATGTGAGCGGAACAGCTGTGCAAACACCCGGGGCAGGGCAGAAGGAGGGGTAGGAGCTGCTCCAGAGCTGAGATTTCCCTGAGATTCTGTGGTACAGCCCACAGAGAGGTGGCTGAGCCCCTGCAGCCCTTGCAGGGCAGGGGCGGGTGCAGAGATCCACCTGCAGTCCCTGAAGGAGCCTACCCCCGAGCAGGGGCATGTCTGAAGGAGGCTGTGACTCCAAGGGAAGCCTGTGCTGGAGCAGAATCTGTCCTAGCAGAATCTGTGGAGAGAGGAGCCCTCACTGGAGAAGGACTGCACCTCATAGAAAGGGACTCATGCTGGAGCACTTCATGAAAAACAACCCTTGCGAAGAAATTCTTGTAGGACCTACTTTCCTTTGGAGGGATGCCACACTGGAGCAGGGAAAGCGTGTGAGGAGTCCTCTCCGTGCGGAGGAAGGAGCAGCAGAGACAATGTGAGAAGAATTCACCACAACCCCCATTCTCCCTGCTGGATGAGAAAAGGTAGAGAAATTGGGAGTGAAGCTGAGCCTGGGAAGAAGGGAAGGGTAGAGGAAGGTGCTGTAATACTTGGTTTTATTTCTCATTATACTTCCTAATTTGATTAGCAAAAAACTATTTTTTCTCAAGTTGAGTCTGTTTTGCCAATAACAGTAATTGGTGAATGATCTCTTGCTCTCCTTGTCTTGAGCTGGGAGCCTTTTGTTATATTTTCTCTCCCCTGTCCAGTTAAGAAGAGGAAATTACACAGTGGCTGGATGGGTACCTGCCATGAGGTTTCTGGAAATTTTTCACCATCTTTTCTGTCCCAGGAAAATGCATCAGTTGGGTATTTGAAAGAGAAGATGTCCTGGGGAACATGCTGTGGTGGTATTCAATAATTCTCTGGGATTTCTCCAGTGCTTTATGCTCTAGCTTCCCTTGGGAGCATGTGCACTGTATTCAAACACACATAAAACCAATCCCCACGCCTCCTTTCCCAGCAACAACAACAAAACCAAGCAAAACCCTTCTGTGGATGCAGAAGCTGTTACATAAATGTCATACATCTTCAATGGAGAGTGTGCTTTCTCTGCAGGTCAGGGGAGTACTCCAAAGCTTATATGAAATTTTTTTATCATTGATTTTCATGGACATGCAGACATGATAAAAAATTTGCACTGGAAGTTGTGGCTATTTTACTTTCATTTAAAAAGAAGCAGAATCAGTCTGTGAAACAGATTTTCTCGCGTCTGTTTTTAAAGTTGACAGTATCTTAGGGTTATTTTTTCTCTTACTATTTTGAAACTGTGAGCACTAAAGATCCTTGTGAAAAAAGACTAAATACACATTAAAGGAATAATTTTACCATTCTGTGTGAAGAGTGGATTCAGTGTTCACTCAGCATCTCCCTACTTAGCATGACTCTTTCCATTCTGGTTTCCATCAAAACTTGTTGGTCTTCTTTCAAAGACAATGGTAAGAAGTTTTCTATTTTTAATGCAAAATGACATGAATGTAATAGTTGTAATAGTTCCGTCACTTAGGCTTTGTCGGAAATGATGTTTGCTTCCATAAATAAATGTGAGTTCATTGCAAAGTCCATTCAAGAGGAAGCAGTCAGCTTTCTGACTTTTCCCATGGTGTTAGCTAATTGCCACCTGGATCTTCATAAACCAGTTGGTGTAAATCTGACGTGGAGAATTGAGATACCTTCTTTTCCAAATGGTAGAATAATAACATCCTTTTCTCTCTCCCTCACTTGGAAACAGTTTGAAAGCTACCGGGTAAATTAGGTAAAATTCAGTTATCTTTGGTGAATAAACTATTTATTTAAAAAATCATTTGATTGGTTCAAACCTCCCACTGAAAAGTGGGTACTCAGAAAGGTCTTGCCTGTGAAATGTGGGTATGTGACATGATGGAGAAGGAAGACTCGTTCACCAGATGATGATCTACAAGTCTCTCTTTATTCCTGAATCGCCAATTATTATACACTTTTTAATTAGCTCATGCATAGTGCAAAATCCCAGCTCACCATTGGCTAATTAGCTATCAGCTATCTACGTGCTGTTTTGGTGTAACTATCACTACTTTCCTAAGCTGTCCTGCTCCACCACCTGTCTCTGTGCATTTCTTCATCCGTGGGCCAAGGACACAGTTTAATTGGAATGGCAACTCCCCTCATTCTCTATCTCGGTCCAATTAATCTCACTGTGACCTTTAGCTCGGAGCCAGCTTGTTACAAAGCTCTCAACAGTGACAGATAATACAATCCCAGAGCTGTGAAAGCATCCCCAGCTCCTGCAGATTTGACAAAAAACACACAAGGTGCCTCATTAAACAGAGGTAACAAATGCAGCACTCTTCTCAGAGCACAGAAAGCAATGCTCTGATTTACACAAATGCTCATATTTTATTTCTGTTGTGAAAGCTCTGATTAAGGAAATCCATGGGAATTCAGATGCTGAGCACCTCACAGCCTCCAACAAAAGATCTACTTTGGTTTCCCCTGCAAGCAAATCTGTGCCAAGACCCTGCTTATGAATTTGCCCACAGAAAGACATTTTCTTACTGTATGATAAGATGTGATTTAATTTCCCTTCAATAACGTGTCCTTATTAATTCTAAGAATGTAAGCATTCTTACTCTGATTTGTCTTCCCCTGGTTAATTTATGTTGGTTTGGAAGTAACTGAATCTGAATGATAATAAATTTTATACTGGCATAATGTAATTGTACATGTGGAGTTACCCTAGTTTAACTGCCCTCCCTGCTTTTTTAAGTAGCCTATACAGAAATCTTTTCCACATAGCAGTCTCCATTTTACGATTAATGTAGACTCATGCATCAATTTCTCCTTAGTGAACCCACTGAGTACTTGGTGGAAATTTTTAAGATGTTTTGTGGAGAATCATGGCTTTTCAGTTTTTAGTGATAGACTTGGTTTTAGTTTTTAATTAGAATATTTTGTTCCCATCAAAAATGTTGCCTTTCTATTATTATATTTAATTTTCTCAAAGATGTCAGGGCCATCTGCATAATTTAATTAGTTTCTGGTGGATTGTTTCTTTGTTCTTCTTAAACATAGCTTATCTTTCATTCAAAGCCTTATCTCTTCTACATGTCTTCTTCAGGTATCTGATCACCTTTTCAGTGAGAGACTCAGTTAGATCAAATAGATCTCCTAAGGATGAGGAAATCCTATCCAGAGCAGGCAGAGAGTGAAAAAAGTGGTCCAAAAAGTGACAACAGACAGGAAGTACACATATTAAATTTTCCTGATATGATTTGGCTTCACCATGCTTTGAACTTTTTTAAACCACACATGAGCAATATGAACTTTGGAAGTCTTTGAACTGTAAAATCTTCTTTGTGCTACAGTGGGCATGTTGCAAAGGACTCTTGTTCAGCCACATGGAAGAGAAGTACTGCAGTACTCTTGCTTTTCTGCCTTCACAGAATTGCATTTTTGGTGAGGGCTTTGGTCGTCATGAGAATGTGAGAGTGCACTGGTTTATGTGCTACCTCCTACAGCTTATGGGTCTATTTGTAGCAGGTGCTGCACCATCAAGAAATAGCAATAATCCACAAACATCCCCCCAACTCTCCAAGACACATAAAAAGGCTACTTTTTTCACCTAAGTTTCATGTTACTCTCATATTTTTGGGTCTTTCTATCTATGATAAAAGCAGGAGGTGAGCTAGTGTTTTCTTCTTGCCTTGTTTTTAAACAGCCCCCGCTTCTGCAAGGGGCATTTTACTTCATAGAATCACAGTCACAGAATACCCTGAGTTGGAAGGGATCCATGAGGATTACCGAGAGGAATTGTTCTTCATACTGATGTTAAACCCAAGATAAATAATGAAGGTATGAAAGACAAATTGCCTGTTTTGATTTTTCATTTCATTTTGCTCACCTTTTCGTGTACAACATTTTCAGAAATAAAACAATGCAGAATTTCACGTCCATCCTCTGATATTATGGGTAAAATGTGCCCTCTGTTATGTGCACCAGGTTTCTGTCTCTATAGCTTATTATAATCTTATGCATTTAAATGGACCTTGATTGGGTGATGGTAATGAAGTGGATGTGCTCAACTCCCATATGGCCTTGCAGAAATATTTTTTTAATTGATCAGCTTCCTATGATTAAGTCTTTAAAATTCAGTACATGGAGGTGAAGAATGATGCTTGGGTGGGTAAGAAGAGACTCTTTTGATGTGGAAAGGCTATAGCAGAGCTGTTGCCACTGGAGAAATCTTTCTTTACTTTCCGCCTGAACCATTGCAACAAGAATGAGAGCAATTAGGTATTTATGCCTCAGCCTGGTCGTGGTCAGTTTTTACTTTTTTCTTTACACCAATAGCATTTCCACAGCTGAGCTGTGGCTCTCAACTCTTGATCTCAGCCTGCCTTCAAGACAAGCTGACATTTCCTGCCTGGTTTAAATAAATGTTTTCAGAAAAAGCATTTCCTGTGAGCTAGTGTTATCTTTTCAAAGGGTGGATTTACTGTGATTTACCATTTGTGATTAAAAAAAAAAAGAGCTAGATACAAGTTGAATTGTCTGTGATCAAAGTTGTGGGGTTTTTTTTAGTGGTGGTTTTTTTTTTTTTTAAATGTGTATTTTTGGAACAAATGTACTCCAGCTCCAAGCTGGAGAAGAGCATTTAGTTTGATGAGTTACGTTTAATAAGTGTCATTACTTAATCTCTTACACTGAATTATTGATTTTATTGATCTTACTGAATTAAATCCTACATTCTATATTTAAATGTTTTGCAATAGAATATACAGTCAGCTGCAGCAGCACAGTGAAGAAATCAGGGATGTAGGGGCAGAATTTAGATTCAGCTTTCTGGCAAGTGACAGAAGTCTGATGTTTATGTCAAAAATCTGCCTACACCGAGCCAAAAACTTGTAAAACAGGGCTAAAGTTCTGTGTTCATTCAGTGTTCATCCTTTGTGTGATTTCTGCTGTGTGCACAATTGATTCTAGGAGGAGCTGTACTAGCTCGTTTTGCCCCCTGAATCACTACTCTGTCTGGATGAGTTTGAAATATCAAAAGCCACAGAATTACTCTATGAAAATGGGTCAACAGCATCCTGCAGCTCACTCCGACAGGACTGTCCCTGAAGCTGGTATGGACCTGCCAGCCCCTTAAACCACACAGCACAAAAGTGGAGTGAGGGAGGAGGAGAAGGAGGAGATCTTTGGATGTAGAGGCTGTGAAAAATCTCCTTTAGACCTTATTAGGCCACACAGCACAAGACAGAGCAACCTGTTCAAGCCCAAGGAGTTCCTTTCAGTAGCCAAAGGTTTATTGTAAAGATTTATTTTAAAATGTCAGTTCCTGACTGTCTTGTAGTTCCCTGTCTTCTTGAAGACATTTGCTGCCACCTTTGTTTTGTATCATACTTTTTTGGGACAAACCATTGTTGAGTTCAGTGGAGCTGATCCTTGAAAACCAGTCCCATCCTGAGCCTCTCTTCTCTACAGGACTCTCTGCCATGGGTTTTCTCCTGTGAACACAAACTCCTGAGCAGACCAAAGTCTGTTCTCTTAAAGTCCAGGCTTGATTGTGATTTTGTTTTTGTATTTCCCCCCTCTTTTCAGGAGCTCCAGCATCTCATGATTACTGCCTGCCTTTGTCCCTGACCAGTTCTTCTCTGTGTTCTTAAAAATAAATGGAGTATAAGAAGAAAAAGGAGGGAAAGGAAATTAAGGAAAGGGGTAGAGAATATTTATATGTTTGACAATTAAGCATATATGTTCCTGGTAGCCTATAAAGTAAAAGTAATCACACAAATTTTAATAGAATTATATTTTCAGATTTTAATAATTATCAGAATCAGCAAAAATAATGATTTGTGAAGGCCCCCCTTCTGAAGATACTATAGTTTCTGTTTTCTGTCTGAAGTCCTGACCTAGCCTTGAGCAAATGTGAGCAACTTTTTTCTACACAAATCAAAGAGTCGAGTGGAAAGACTGGGGATACTGCTGGATAGGTCAGTGAAATTGTTGCTATGGAAAAGGGCTGGCAGTACAAGCACATGATTTTAGTAATGGATTCCACAGATCGAACTTTTTCAATATATTCTCTTGCTCCATGAACATGACATAAGAAATAGCTCAGAGTTTGGTGCAGCCATGGCAGGAACAGATTGCCATGGTTGTCACTGCAAGTCTGAAATGGTAGAGCTTTGTTCTGGAGTGGAAGAATTCAAGTTTCCTGTGTGGGTCACCACAATAATTATTTCTCATCTTGTAGTTGCCCTGTTTCAGTCAGAATAGTTGCTTTGCCACCCCGCAGAGTCACATATGGAGAATAGGACAGAGGCACCACCGGTACTACTGTTACATTTCA